GGTCAGACATTCGGGTGGACATTAATTAGACCCCGCAACATCTACCATCAAAAAATGGCTATTTACCTACATTGAAATATTTATCCACAACATGACACTACGAAAAATTGAATTTCCTTAACCAATTTCAATCTGCTGTTAGTAAAATAGGGGTTACTTTGCTTAGTAGAATTATGGTTCTGACTGAACGGTTAAGGTTAAGTATGTTAGGTTAGGTTCATTTAGACTATAGCTTCCTTCAATTCGAATCATAATTCTACTAAGGATTCCGACCGTCAAAGCATATGACCTTATATTTCTTTACTTACATCATTCTATTTTTTTCTATTCCTGGAGATAAATTTGGAACAGAGTGTATCTTTGGAGCAAGGCTTTAGTGTATATGAATGATGTGAAACCGTGATTAGAAATTATGAGATAAAGAGAGATAGGATGGTACTATACCTTCTGAGACTAGAGATATATTCTAAACAGCAGTATGAGTAACAATGACAAAGGAAGATGTGAATTAGGTTTATCATCATAAGGCCGTCAGTTTTAAGACTGGTTGGATACGCACCTCCACTCTTTTCTATCCTGAGCTAATCTTCGCATTTCCCTAAAACTAGAACATCCCATATCCTTAAATATTTGCAAACAGTAATCTAATCTAGATCTACCGCAACTCCTCTTAACTCCTGTTTCTGCCTCTAATATGTCTTTGACTGGACCTTCATGCCTGAGAAGGTGTCCTACCAACCTATCTCGCATAGTTTTTATTGATTTCTATAGAATCCTCTGTTCTCCTGTTCTTTCTAATACCTCTTTATTTCTAACCTTTTTTATCCACGGTATCCTCATCATTCGCCGGTAATACCACATTTCAAACGCTTCTAACCTTTTCTTTTCTACCGCGCCCACTGTCCATGTTTCGCACACGTACAGCGCCGTGCTCCAAACATACACCTTTAAAAACCTTTTTCGATTTTCTAAATCAACCGTTCGCGAGCAAAGAAGTGCCTTTTTTTATTGTAGGCGATTCGACCCTGCGTTATCCTCTGCTTTATATGTTTGCTACTCCTTCCGTCCTGACTTATCTGACTTCCTAGATACCTAAAATCAGCTACTTCTTCTAATCTTTCTTCTCCTATCTTTATATTCGGTCTTTCCCTGCTTACCAGTATTTTTGTTTTACTTTTATTTCTTTACTTACACCATTCTATTTTTTCTATATCTGGAGGTAAATTTGGAATCGGATTACGTAATTTTTGACCAAGTTTTATAGACATAGCCACATTTTACATGTTATTGGCCTTCCAGATTCCTGAAGGCTTTTGACCAGAAAACCACCGGGCCTGCGAGACCAAGAGCAATTTTGCATTTTCGGTTCTTTATCACTGTATTATTATCAGTAATGCGAGTAACTTTTATTTGATGGTTGGTGAAGTAGGCCAAATTCGATATTACTGATTTACCGTATAATATTATATAAGAAAAGGGATCGTGGTGTACGTGGGGTCGAATTAATGTGCATCGTTCGGATGGATGTAACGTTGTAAACTAGATGCTCGTTGTCCATGCATTGCTTGCTTGGCATGTAGATTGTAGACGAGTCGTTAGTTAACCCTCGACTATAATAAAGCGCCTTTTGTATTGTATTATGCGAGAGAGTGTGTAACAATGTGTGTGCGCGCCCGGGATCAGACCATTCAGGTTGATCATTCCCATGGTAATAATTGACTCGACGTAATGAGAACGTGTTGTGTGTTTAACAATCACGAAATAATTCGCAGTTATTATTGACGTTTTCTTTTTCTCTGCATGGTTTTGTAATCAAATGGCAAAACGCTAGCCTTGTATAGTTTTTGTCCTTGTCATGTGTCCTTCGTATTGTTGTAGTTTTATACTTAAGTAAATGTCATTGTTTGGATTAAATATAAGCGTTCTTCTTTTTTTTAACTCATTCGACATTCCACCATATTACATTCCAAAAGTAATCGACCTCTGGGGGTCGACTCCAAACTGTAAAGGGTTCGTGGCATCAACATCGTGTACAAGATGCAAGTTATTGAGAGTTCAGGAGAGTTATTGATGAACAAAGGAAGATCATGACTGTCTCAATCTTGGTATAGATATTGGTCTTCCTTATTCGATGTTGGTCTTTCTCAAATACTTTTAGTCTTAGTCTTGATCTTTGTATTTCAACCACCATGTCTTATCCAGGCATAGGAACAATGAACACTTTATTCACAGAGATTTGGGAAAGTATGTTCTAATCATGGAAAACTTTTGGATTCTAATCTAATAGGGCATTTCTCATTTGACGGGTTAAACTAGTAACACAATTGAAGTTGTTGGATTTGCAACAGTTCAATATCAGAAAAACAGAAAAAATTGGCATAGGACCCCTAGACAAAAATTTTCAGTCTCTCTCCAGTCTTTCAGAGTTTTTTAGCGTTTCTGAGAGCGTCTCTCACAGTCTCTCAGTTATTGCCCAGGTATTTTTATGGATCTCTCACGGTCTCTGTATGAAAGACTCGAACGATTAAATTGTTAATTCAGAGATTCGAGTCTCTCGTTCAGAGATTCGAGTATCTCGTTCAGAGACTGGATACGAAATGAGGATGTCTCTTCTCTTTATGAGCGACTCGAGTCTCTCGTACAGAGACGCTAAACATTTTTTTTGACAGTCTCTCTCAGGAACACCAGAGAGATTCGATGAGAGACGGAGACTCCAATCTCGCGTTCAGAGACTCTGAGAGACTGAACATTTTTATCTTGGAACTCTAGGAGATAAAAAAGCATGGGTTATCTATCACCGATGATTTTTAATGATGGTCGCGCTCCTTCGTACCCAGTATACGACTCGATTAAAGAGTTAAAACGGTTCATATGCTGAACAGTAATAACAATAATATTTTCCTGCAAATTACATTTCTGTTGACACAGATCTGGCACGATGTGCCACTGGTTTATTTACGAACATGAAAAATGTATTATGTCGTCAAGTGCAGAAGCGGAAACATGCGACGACCCTAGCTCGCGTTGCCGAGCATCGCCTTCAGTAATGTAGTCCTTTTGAATCAAAACAATGCATTGTTCGGAACAAGTATCTTTTTGCGTGGGTCCGAACCATTTAAGCCGCCGGCCAGAGAGTTGCCGGTCGTCATCTTTTATATGCTTTTAGAATATGATACGAGAAGCTCTCTAAAGCCCCCGGCTCCAGAAACAGCACTAAACTACCATTTTGTTGTAAGCATTTGTTTGATGACCGGTAATATTACATTTGCTCTATGTTGTGTGTATTTTATAGACTTCGGATATTCGCTAACAAAGAAAATGTAAATGTAAATATAGCTTACATTTTCGGAAGACAAAGGGCAATGCTGTCTGTATTAAATAACTAATTACATTAGGAGGCAAAACTTATTGTGTTTTTGAGAACCAAAATAAGTGGTTTTACTCTTAAGGATGTTTAGGAGCTATGTCAAAATGCTACGAGACAAATAAAAAAATTGGAAGAACGTTCCTCATTCAATTTTAAAACTCCTGTAAAAATTACAAATCGATTTACTGAACCTTTNACTTATTCAAACACAATTCATAAGGTACAGCCTAGTACAAATGATCTGTTCTAGAACATTAATTTATTAAATAAAATAATTCGAAGTGGTCTGTATTCTGTATTCTGAGCATACGTAATCCTAAAATGTATCATCGTGCTACAGGTGGCGTTTACTGCGCCATTTGTAGTATTTTTATTAATTTATTGTTCTATAAGAGAAGAAGGTTGGGTTGCCTAAACGCTGTTTTATGGATAAAGGAGTAAGCGAAGCTATAGCTGGTAACCAATTATTTAACCAAGCTTTGGAGGATGTAATAGGGAATTGTATAGTGAGTAAAGCAGCGTGATTGAGAGACGAAAATTTGTAAAAGAAACCAGACGATGTTACAATCTGAAGCCGGCCCTGGGCGTGAATTGGCAATGTATAGAAAATTTGCGATAGCAACTATGCAACTACATGAATGAAAAATGTAATGGAATGCGTGACCTTACCAGGGCCGGACTGGCCATTGACTACATTCAAATACGATCGAACCACTAAATATTTACTTAATTTTCTTATTTCATGGTGCGCTATGACCTCCTGCAAGCTTGCTACCTATTTCAGAAACATCCTGTATAAAACATCTTAGATGCAGAACCCAAGACGGGAAGTTGTCGTATATGTAAAAAGTAATAGTTTTTAAAAGTTAATTTATTCAAAGTTAAATTCGATACTATTTCGAGCGATACCAAAACAGTCTACTTTTAAGTATTCGAAGATTAGGGATCAGATGATATAAGGGTAAATGCCATCTGTAGAAAATTGCTACTTATCGTGGGATTTATAAATGTTCGACAAGGTCCTTTTCTAATAGGAATATCGGAGCACGCAACCAAACCAAGGGGTCTTGGTGGTTATTATTCTGCAGATTGGTCGATGTTCTGTTGGATATGTCTAAGGCGTGCTGATGAGATTCACGTCTGGTAGTTTCAACAGAATATTGACCATGACGAAACTTTTGTTCTGTTTGCGTTGTCCACATTTAAAAAAAGTTAGGGAAATTTGTACTGATCTTGTTATAACTCGAATAGACAAAGACAAAGCAGTGGTTTTGTTCAATTTTATATTAATTTATTTACTAATTCTGGCAGTAAATTAAAAAATCAGATATTTGTAAATACGTACAATAGAGGTCCGATGCTCCTGGGGAAATAGCTCTAAACTTGAATGAACAATTTTTACTTTCAATTTTATGTTTTTTATTAGTCGATTAATTATTATTAGTGGTAAATATATAAAGTATGAATATATTATTTACGTTAGATTTAGCTTAAAAAGTTTTATGTGCATATTGGTATTTATGAATATCTTTTCTTAAACTAAAAAAGTGTTTCTCAGCCGTATTTTTTAACCATAACGTTTGAAATATTTGAACGGTATTTTTTGATTCGCCTTTTCTATTTTTTTTTTCAGCTTGCGAATGTAATCAACACGCTAGAAGATGTCGCTTCAATATGGAACTTTACAAACTGTCCGGAAGAGTTTCCGGCGGTGTTTGCTTGAAGTGCCGACATTTCACCGCGGGTCGTCATTGTCATTACTGCCGCGAGGGCTACTATCGCGATCCCACCAAACAAATTACACACAGACGAGCATGCAAACGTAAGTAATCAACGTTTATTACAGCCGACTCGATCTAGACACTTTAAGCCTCGTAATTTCACGAAGACTCTTTTTATGACAGCACATTAAAAAATTTGTGTAGTTAAAGGAAAATCTCACTTGAGACACTTCTAATCCTTTTATTAAGGAGAAAGGTATACTTGGTTTAGTTTCTGTAGCGATATGACCTTCAGCTTGACCGGCGCAAAGTAGAAAAGAACAGCACTAGGCCAGAAAAGGAAGGAGACAACTCTCGGTCAAACTCTTAACCGGTGAGGAGCGTATAATCCGTACAGTACTGCACGGAAAAATTGACCATTTAATCCACTACAAGTGTATTGCTCAAATGTGCTGTTATTGGTACCATTTACTACTGAAAATATCAACGAGATGTTTATTTATATTTGAAGACATATTAAAGGCTTTAACGCTTGTTTTCGACTCGCTCGTTTTGGCAGGTACTGTATGAAAAAGTATGATTAATAAACAAGAGTCGAGAGTATAATGAGCTTTCTTCTCCCTACCTACGATTTTGCCAGCGCGCATCCAAAACATTGGAAGGGCACATCGCTAGAGAAAGTAAATGAAGTATATTTATAATCGTGAATTTTCTTTATTTGAAAAGAGAATCCGCGAGAACAACCTGTAGTAAATAAAATGCCTACTGTAAAAAAGACTGTCGTTGCATATTTGTTTCCACCAACATTAAATATATTCATATTAAGAGATCTGTGACCGTGTCCACAAATACTCACATAAAAATGTACAAATTACGTTCTCGGTCAGCGGATAATGTTAACCCTAATTGAAATAAATTGACATATGGTGACATCTGGAGGGTGACTTTATTAAAATTATTTTTCACTCCCCTGCCTTCATGTACTGGCAGCCGTTATACGACTGTGTTTGCGACGAAATTGATATTAATGTTCAACTTGACCTAGCAATTGAAAACAATGACATTCCACATTAAAAGTCCCTTTTAACGAATATTAACGCTCATAAAGGTAATGTCTTTGTTTATTTAAAAAATAAATTACTCAAAATGAAATGGGAAATATTTTAAAACACTTTTTTTATTACATATATTCAAGATTTTTACATTATGGTTAAAACAGTGCCCTTCATGAGTGGCATGATTAACTTAGGTCAGTTGTATTACTTAAATAACTATCTTTATGTTCTAGCAAGCGTTTTTTAAAATTTCTGCTGGTTTGTCCAATATAATCTTAAGGGCAATGTCTATAAGTTAGCCGTTTTTCTTTTTATGTTACGTGAACTTTTATTGGAACATTATTGAAATATCTAAGAACTTTAATCGATATGTATTAGTTTGACGTATTTATTGACGTGTTACTGTACAATAGATAAAACAAAGTAACCACTATTATATGTAAAATGGACCGATTTACATGACAATGAGGAACCGAACATAAGTAATACATACCATGTGCATGGGTATGCACGATTGCAGAAGGATAATGCAATAGTTGGGGGTAAAAGCCTATGGTATAACGATTTATGGGCACAGGTAGGTGTGTTAACCAGTCCATCTCGTTTAAATTAATTTGATTGCATCCATTAACGCCACCCAAATTAATTACCGTCCTCCTAAAGCAATTAAGGAAAAATATGTTGGCCATAATATTGTGCCACGCCGTGCCGTAGCATTTGCCAGTTATTTGGTCTAAATGAACGGACTCTTAGGCGTGAAAGGACGTCGCTTTTTCCACACGCGGGTTAATATACCTAAAAGTACAGTTGTTGCAAAATTATATGGCAAGTTTTTCGTACAAATACTAAATATTTTAGTTAGTCAGTACTGGGCGAGTCCGTAAGGGATATTAGAAATGAAATAGTTTTCATTTTTAGGGTTCCGTACGACCGAATGACAAACGTGTTTGTCTGTCTGTCTGTTGGTCACAGTCAATTAGCTCCGAATCTACTGGTCCGATTAAGTTGAAATTTAGTACAGATATGAATTTCTGTGACCCTAATACGGATGCATAACGTAAATAAATTAATTTTGAAAATGGGAGGCATTTTTGGGGGGGGGGGCAAAAAGAAATTAAAAAAAAGTTTTACAAACTGTACCGTGTGAAATGATAGGGCTTGTTGTAAAGGTCTCAAATATATTTTTTTTTATAATTTTAAAATTAAAAGTTCTAAAGTTATTTAAGAAAATCATCTCCGAAACTACTGAACCTAAAATTTTTGGAAAACAGACTGGTGTTTCAGGTTTCCGCCTTATTTTGTAGATTTTTAGTGTTGTAGAAGAACAAGATGTGGACTATGACTTTTAATTCGTTTAAAACAGATTGAGAAGCTTATTATTTCATAAAAATATTAATGTACTTTAGTTGACGTATCTTATGCAATTCAAAGTTCCATTTTGCAGTCATATTTTCTGGTGACGTAAAAATATTAGACTGTGCCGCAAAAGGTATTAAGTTAATTTTATGGAAGCGGAAGTGCAGGGCCCGAGGGATGAGTTTTATTTACCGTGAAATAGAATACAAATGAAAAAAGTTGCTATCGTCTTATATGAGACTATAAATTTTAAACAGTTCACGAGAATTTCAGTTTTACAGTTTACGAACATTAAATGACACATGTAATTTTTAACAGCGAAAGCTTCACGGACATCATTCACTTGAGAGTTAATATACATATAGAAAAAGAAATAACAATTTGGGCACAAAAGTATACTTCATTTACTTTCTGTAGCGATGTGCCCCTTCCAATGTCTTGGGTGCGCGCTGGCAAAATCGTAGGTAGGGAGGAAAAAGCTCATTATACTCTCGACTCTTGTTCATTAAACATACTTTTTCATACAGTATCTGTCAAAAGGTTTGTTCAATCATGAGTAGTAGTGCGAGTCGAAAACAAGCGTGGACGCCTTTAATATGTGTTCAAATATAAAACATCTCGTTGATATATTCAATAGTAAATGGTACCAATAACAGCACATTTGAGCAATGCAATTGTAGTGGATAAAGTGGTCAATTTTTCCGTGCAGTACTGTACGGATTATACGCTCCTCACCGGTTAAGAGTTTGGCCGAGAGTTGTCTCCTTCCTTTTCTGGCCTAGTGCTGTTCTTTTCTACTTTGCGCCGGTCAAACTGAAGGTCACATCGCTACAGAAAGTAAACGAAGTATACCCTTTGACCAATTGAATAGCTGGTATGAAAAGGCTAGAAACAAAAACAGGAGTGAAGACAAATAGTTTAGGATGATAATGATGATGATGACGACCTACTAAAAAACAAAATGTTACCACATTCCGCCAATTCATCTCGAAAGATCCATACGTGAAAATACGTAGAGGTAGGCGTAGGTATGAGTTATACAAAAAAAATTACCATAACAAAATTGAGCAGGCTACGAATTTAACTACGTGACGTACAAAATATATGGGCTGTTTAGCTTTTAAAGTTCTATAAGTGGATTTTACAACTTCTGCTTGGCAGTGTGGCTTAATTAGGTTATAAAGCGAACAAATTATATTAAAGAGTTCATTTTCTTGGAGCAGCACTTTGCCAACTTACAAAACACAATTTTATGCTACGACAGTTTTCGCTCTATATTATGTAGCAGTTTTTGCTGGTAATAACTCAGGAAGAGTATTTAAAACTTCCAACATAATGCGATATAGCATCAGACAGTAGAAAATAAAAGATACGCAAATATAGCGCAAGAGGACAGATTGAGGACGAAATTTTAATATAGCTGCCGCCCGATACGGCAAAAGTAAAAGAATCGCGAAAGTTTTCGTGGTCCCTAAAATATGTTAAGTATGTAAATATTTAACAGAACAAGTGCTTCTGTAAGTGATTTACAAGCCTCTACAGTATGAAATACTTGTTTAAAAAGTCAAGGATGCACTGGCGGCGGGTCGAATTTGTGCCTTGAGGATTTCATATTGATATGTTTTTTGGTTGGGTCGACTTTATAACTGCCTGGTTGGAATTATATCTTTAAACAGGCGTCTTTGATTTCCTAAATTCCTGAGAATGTTGAACTTTCTTTCAAATCCGATGCTGCCAACATGCTCAAATTTATCTGCATCTCTTTCTGTTACACATTAATTGGTGTAACGTTATTCCATTTTCTTTATACGTGTCCGCTGCAATTCCCACCTGACATCTCTTTTCTATGTTAACAGTATTCCCAACTATACCTACAGCATATTGCATTTTATTAAAGTCTTTTGTGTTTAAAACTGCAATGGATTGTATTAATTCGGAAAACAAATATCTACAAAAGACAAAAGAGAAGACAACCCGAGATAAAAACGTTCAGTCTCTTAGAGTCTCTGGAAAGCGATACTCGAATCTCCGTCTCTCATCGAGTCTCTCTGGTGTCGCTGAGAGAGACTGTCCAGAGACTGTCAAAAAACTGTTTAGCGTCTCTGAATAAGGAGAGACTCGAGTCGCTCATAGAGAGATCCTCATTTCGTATCAAGTCTCTGAACGAGAGACTCGAATCTCTCAATAAGTGGTGTCTCGATAGACGTAGTTAAAATTTTCAACATATTTCAGAGATCCCAGTCTTTCTACGAGACTCGAGTCTCTCAATTTTTCAGTTTTATTCATTCAGTCTCTCTGTGGGAGACTCGAATCTTTGAATTAACGTTCAAGTCTCTCATAGAGAGACTGTGAGAGATCCATAAAAACACCTAGGCAATAACTGAAAGACTCTGAGAGACTGGCGAGAAACTGAAAATTTTTGTCTAGGGAATGTATCTGTACTTTTTTTATTTAAGGAGATATCAAGAGTGGCGGCTATCAGTAGGAATGCACCAGCGAAAGGCATGAGATATAACACATGATGTATATTTAGCGAATAGGGTTCCCTTGTTCTTGTAATTTATGTTGACCGTGAATCCCGCTTCTCCGTTTCTTTCTTTCTTCAACCTTCGAGGAAATTCTACGGTAATATACAATATAAATTACAACTTTAAGAGTCTGTAATACATATTCATAAAAAAGTAAAGTTC